CCCAATTTCTCTGTTTTCTCTCTCCCCATCCCCTTTCCTCTCTCTCTTACTCGCTCACGCGTGTAAGTTATCCATTGTCCAAACTTTACGCATTTCTCGTTCATTGATGTCTTTTTGTATCGTTCATTGATTTCTTTTTGTATTGTTCATTGATGTCTATGTGTTTGTAAATACATATATCCCGTGTAACCGTAGTAAATACATAAGTAGTCATGCCTCTATTAAATTAATTATATATTCATTTGATTGATGTGCTGTCTCTTTGCTCAATTTCAAGTCCCTTAAGTGCCAAAGACCTAACTTATGCTACAAGCTTTACGAATTAAAGATACTTTAAAGAGTATGTGTTGATAGGGCGGGAAACCCAATTCTTCTGGCCAGAGAATTGCGTTTCCTGAAATCCTATAAAGTAAGATGATATTGTGGATCCCACAAATATTATCCTGACAATTGAGCTAATTCATTTTACCTGTTTGTGAAACGTGGTCCGTGTAATTAACTGCAATCAACTTGTGGTTAATTTCAGGGATTCACATGCACGCATGCAGGTAGAATGACAGATCCTCCCTTATCGGGAGATTTATTAACATGTAAGACTGATCTAATCCAAACATGTATGAATAATTATTAATTACCAATTATTAATTATGATATGCAAATTCCCCACGGATTAGATCCGCCCTGAATCCTTACACGTCTGTATTCGATTGGTTTGTGCCACTGAATGTTTTGTAATACCAGTGCTACTTTATGTTGTTTATCTCGCAAAGTGACAAACTGTCCATTCTAGGAAAGACACAAAATAAATCTATCATGGGTCACTACGAAAAACGTGTTACAGTCACGTGCTTTTTGCGTGATGCTGCACGGACGCACCCCAGTAGGTGTCAGTATGAGTGAGTGTAACACTGGCCAGCGCAAGATTCTGTGGCTTTAATATTTCAAGTCCTTCCAAAAAGTGTACAAAAAAAATCAATTATTAAAAATAATTTGTTAGGCTATGTATCTGAAAAGGATTACATACAGAGCTACTAGCAATCTTCTTTATTTATACAAGTGCAAAAAAAAAGTGCTCAGTGCATTTTAAATATTCAACAAACGTTTCGGTCACGCAGGACCTTCCTCAGTACCTTTAATATTTTAAAAATAATTTTATGGAATTATTTAATAAATAAAATCCATTTTTTTTGTACAAATTAACTATGTGCATAAGTTACATCTACATTAGGCAGACATCCGCAGGTGTCACTACTGGAGTTGCCACAACATAAAGAGACATGTGAGTTTTAGTAACACAGGCCAACTGGCATGTGCCAGTGGATATTGGCATGTGTCACTAAAACGTGTGATGTGCCAATGCATTCCGTCATGTGTCACTTGCATAACAATTTGCTTTATGCTGTCAAACATATGATTTATTACATCGCTGAGTTAATGTGTACAACATTAGCTATTATACATAATTCGATAAAATAATTTTTGAAATATTAAAGCCACAGAATCTTGCACTGGCCAGTGTTACACTCACTCATACTGTCACCTACTGGCGTGCGTCCGTGCAGCATCACGCAAAAATAAAGGTTTACAGTAACGGACGTGACTGTAATACGTTATTCGTAGTGACCCATGATAGATTTATTTTGTGTCTTTCCTAGAATGGACAGTTTGTCACTTTGCGAGATAAACAACATAAAGTAGCACTGGTATTACAAAACATTCAGTGGCACAAACCAATCGAATACAGACGTGACACAAATAACACGTTTGAAAAAATATTACTGACTTTAATGCGTTTAATTGATATTTAAAATATCACGAAATTAGGCTATTTATTTAGGGTTTTGTGTCACAATTACGTCAGGATAGGTGCTCGGTTAATCTGTCAGTCACTACTGGAGGTGTCAGAACACACGGTGACATGTTCCGCGACTCGCTGTCAGTCAGGTGTCAGTGTGTCGCGATAATGTCAGTGACACATGCCAATGAAGACCAGATGTGCCACCGGATGTGCCAGTAGCAGTATTAACTTAATGTTAATACTGCTACTGCACAGGTTTCCATAACAAGAAAAGGGACGGTACCGGTGCTATAGCCTATATCTTTCGTGCCTGGTGCGGTTTGTGCAGGTGAAGAGACGGGATTTCTTTTCCGCATCGGCTTCGAAAAACACGGTCGTGTGTAACGTTAACGTTCACTTCAGATCGGAGGATTATCATCCCGGCGATATGATGGAGTTTAACATGGGATGCCGAAGCAAGATTATTGATCGTCTAATACTGTACCAATGGCATCAAATAGTGTGATATAGGTAGTCATGCCCTAAATAGAGGCGACTTGTAATTGAACAACAAAATTACTTACTAGGTTGTTTACATTTTCAAATCTTTAATTTTCTGTTTATGTTAGAACCCAGGTGAAAAATATGTATTAAAAATGTACTTGAGTATGTTTTTAGTACAATAGAAATATACTCAAGTATAGTTTTTATACATTTAATAGTATAAATCTACCCTAAACATACTAATGTCTGCTGGCCTGATGTAATAATCTGTACAATATTGTGAGAACAGTGTATATCGTTAGCGAACGTGAATCTACACTCACCTAAAGGATTATTAGGAACACCATACTAATACTGTGTTTGACCCCCTTTCGCCTTCAGAACTGCCTTAATTCTACGTGGCATTGATTCAACAAGGTGCTGAAAGCATTCTTTAGAAATGTTGGCCCATATTGATAGGATAACATCTTGCAGTTGATGGAGATTTGTGGGATGCACATCCAGGGCACGAAGCTCCCGTTCCACCACATCCCAAAGATGCTCTTTTGGGTTGAGATCTGGTGACTGTGGGGGCCATTTTAGTACAGTGAACTCATTGTCATGTTCAAGAAAACAATTTGAAATGATTCGAGCTTTGTGACATGGTGCATTATCCTACTGGAAGTAGCCATCAGAGGATGGGTACATGGTGGCCATAAAGGGATGGACATGGTCAGAAACAATGCTCAGGTAGGCCGTGGCATTTAAACGATGCCCAATTGGCACTAAGGGGCCTAAAGTGTGCCAAGAAAACATCCCCCACACCATTACACCACCACCACCAGCCTGCACAGTGGTAACAAGGCATGATGGATCCATGTTCTCATTCTGTTTAAGCCAAATTCTGACTCTAACATCTGAATGTCTCAACAGAAATCGAGACTAATCAGACCAGGCAACATTTTTCCAGTCTTCAACTGTCTAATTTTGGTGAGCTCTTGCAAATTGTAGCCTCTTTTTCCTATTTGTAGTGGAGATGAGTGGTACCCGGTGGGGTCTTCTGCTGTTGTAGCCCATCCGCCTCAAGGTTGTGCATGTTGTGGCTTCACAAATGCTTTGCTGCATACCTCGGTTGTAACGAGTGGTTATTTCAGTCAAAGTTGCTCTTCTATCAGCTTGAATCAGTCGGCCCATTCTCCTCTTACCTCTAGCATCAACAAGGCATTTTCGCCCACAGGACTGCCGCATACTGGATGTTTTTCCCTTTTCACACCATTCTTTGTAAACCCTAGAAATGGTTGTGCGTGAAAATCCCAGTAACTGAGCAGATTGTGAAATACTCAGACCGGCTAGTCTGGCACCAACAACCATGCCACGCTCAAAATTGCTTAAATCACCTTTCTTTCCCATTCTGACATTCAGTTTGGAGTTCAGGAGATTGTCTTGACCAGGACCACACCCCCAAATGCATTGAAGCAACTGCCATGTGATTGGTTGATTAGATAATTGCTTTAATGAGAAATTGAACAGGTGTTCCTAATAATCCTTTAGGTGAGTGTATAAGCACGTCTCTCACCAAGACACCTGTCCTGTTCTCCACTGGTTCTCCTCACACCACAACTCAATTTGTCTCTGACCGTTCTGTCTGACATTAGTCCTGGCCTGTCCCTGCTCTCTTGGCAGCATAGCAGGCTCATAATTGTATGGCTGTGGTCCATCATACGTGTAAGTATGAACAATTTCCTCAGCGTCCGAAATGTCATAGCGATCCATTGTTTTCCTGTTGTTTGAATCGACCACTCTCCCGCCCATTACGTCACGCCCACCACGCCCATTTTCGCAGGGCCTGGTGGCAGTTTAGAACGTCATGAGCTATCCAGTCATTATATAGATCAGTGATCTAAATCCAAAATGGACAGACGTCAATTGACTTTATGCACAGCTGCACTACTTTTTTTTTCATCCATGTTGTTTGGTTAGCTCTGCTGGTTGATGTCGTTGTACAGAAATAATGTTGTGACAGTTGGTCGGTGTGGTATTAGTCCCGCCCCACCTCCACTGTGATTGGACGGCTGGGTAAAAAGTGACAGTGATGAGCGCTGCGTTTTACCCAAAGTTGAGCATTTTTCAACTCTCGGCGACCAGTAAAAAAAACGCCGGGCGCTCAGCGGTCCAGCGTGAAAAAAACGCTCAGCGCCTCGTTACGCTCATGCCGTTTTATAAACGCGGTGCTCCCATTGAAACCAATTGAAAACATACGCCAGGCGCGTGGAAAAACGCTTTGGTGGACACACGGCCCTAGCTTTGGGCGCTTGAGAGCGTTCTGGCAGCGCAGCGTTTTTTTCCGTTGAGACGTTTCGTTGCTATGATACAGAATGTTAGCCTAGAGCTGTGTCCGAAACCGCTCACTCGTTCACTCATTCACTAATCCCTATATAGTGTATGGCATTTGAGTGCACTATATCTGCAAGGAGTGAACGAAATGAAGTGAGTGAATTCGGACACTGACGTTTACACTGTGCGTCGGAGAGTTGGAGCTGTCGCAGAAAAGGCTTCGTCACACGTACTGATAAAACTCCTTTTATCTTATGTTACTTACTTTATAAAATAATATTAACAACAATCACAATCATAATGACTTTATTTTGTAATTGTATATACCTCCGTGCCAGCTTTGTAGTTTCATCGACTGAAATTGTAACTCTCACGCTCACAGATGACATGATGTTTCCTAACAAAGTTCGGGAGGAGCATGTTCAGATAATTAAACACATGTGGAGCACATTCAGGTAATCAAGCCTAATTAGACACGAGTGGAGCACACTCCCAATCAATGAGGTAAGAGGTATATATTCAGCAAACTTAACTCAGTTCTTTGACAGTCTAACAGCATATTGGTTTGACCTTCTTGCTACCATGTCTCAACTCCAGCTCTTCCCATCCGATGAGGAATCTAACTTCTCACCGGATCCTCAGCCACAATCAGCTGACCCAAGGACAACTCCTTCTCTACCCAACATTTCAACTGATCCTCAGGCTTCTCCACGCGGCCGCCTGCCTGCCCGAACAGCTACACGCTCGCCTAGACGCAGAGGCCAGCCCTCGCCTCCACCAGCGAGACATCACAATCCCTCCCCTGCTTCTTCCTATCGCTCGGCCGTCCCAACAATTCCACCAATTGGAAAGTGGACAGTTTTAGGATTGAGGCAAGCGCTGATCAATTCAGATGTTCAGTTCTCGCGAAGGATGAACAAAGCGGAACTATACGCCTTGTATGTATCCTTGCAATCAACTAACCTCTCTCCGAAGTCCATGCCGGCCCCGAAAAGGACCAGCAGGCAAAGCAAAGCTCAGGATTCACCTCGCTCGACAACACCACCATCGCAGCGTACCAAATCCAGTTCTCTTTCAGCATCAAACCGCAGCAGAAGGCCTTCAGCAAGCTTGGGCCGCGCCCCAGTTCCTTCTGCTGTCAGACCTCGCCAGCAGGCTGCAGCTTTGGTTGAAACCAGGCCCGCCGACCTTCCCTCAGCATATCAGAACATGGCTCCTGCTGTTTCTAATAATCCTTTTTCTTTTCAGTGGCCTCCAGCACCTGTCCCAGATGCTAGCGCGAGGCTGCCTCCGCTAGCATTGGAGGCCCAATCATTTCAACCTACCTTTACAACAGCTACTAATCCCTCTTCTTTTCAGTGGCCAGCAGCTCCAGTAGCTCAAGCTAGCATGAGGCTGCCTCCGCTTGCAGCACAAGCCCACTTTTCTCAGTTTCAACCTTCCTTTCCTTCTCATACTTTTAATCCTCTTCCCCAAGCCCCAGAGGCCAATTCAAGCGTGAGGCTGCCTCCGCCGACAATTGCAGCCCCGGCCTCGGCTCCTTTCAGCTCTCTTCTCCAGGCAAAATCTCTCCACTCTCTCTTCACAGCAACTCAGATGCCTGTCCCATCGAACGCCGTTGCCGCGGAGCCGCCCCCAGTGTCCCACAACATCCGAGCACAGATCCTGTCAGAAATTCAGGATGCTGGCTCCAGAGGCAGACCAATTCCCAACTCCAGTACCTCACTATTCAGAACTAATATTCCCGTAACCCACCCTCTAAAACAACTCCTCGACACATCACTGGACACCATCCTCCAAGCAGTTTCTCCCAGGACCCTCCAATCTTATGTGACAGCTTGGAGGTGTTTTAAAGCATTCCACTTCTCATACACCTTGCCATTCCCTGATTTTTCTCTCCTTTCAATCACCTCATTCATCTCCTACCTTAACAGCATTAAGGGCCTCCAAGTTGGAACCATCAAAGGTTACCTGAGCGGCATCCAGTTTTTCCACAAATTGATGTACGGCGCTCCCTCCCCAGAGATAAATAATTCACAAACCTCCCTTCTGGTCAAAGGAATTCAACGATCTCATCCCACCCATCCCGACACCAGACAACCCATAACACTAGATATTCTCACAAAATGTATTCATGCCCTCCGCACAGTCTACCAGCCTCTCGAGACAGCCCGTACACTCGATGCTATGTTTATTCTAGCATTTTTCGGCTTTCTTAGATGCTCGGAACTCGCCATCACTTCCAAATTCGACCCAAGAGTCCACCCCACCATCTCAGACTTATCAGTACTGGATAGTGAAACCATCTCATACTTGATTAAGCAAAGCAAGACAGACCAATCCAAAAAAGGCCATTTCATCTACATCTTCAAACTCTCATCGCCAATCCAACCATACCAATCCATTCAGGCATATCTTCATTGGAGAAGCTCCCAGGCTAAATCCCACCTTGATCCCCTATTTATAGATGACTCCAACAAACCTGTGACACGCTTTTGGTTCCAGAAACATCTCAAATCCGTTCTTCAACAGTCAGGCATCCAAGCAAAACACTTCTCCAGTCACTCTTTCCGCATCGGAGCAGCAACTTCAGCTGCCCAAAAAGGCCTCTCCCAGCAGCAGATACAAGCTCTCGGAAGATGGTCCTCAGACGCTTTCCAAAGCTACATCAGGACCAACCGGTTCCACATTAAAAAAGCCCACCAAACCCTCATCGAATAAAACCCTCCGGGTCGTCCACCTGGGTGTTCTTCCTTCTTCCAGTGATCTAAATTCCCAACTGACAAAGCAAAAACTCTCCCAGCGGACATTGCATAATTCTGTCCAGCGAGCATTGGTCTCCCAGCGGACATTGCAAAGCATCTATGTTTTCTCCTTTTCCTGTCCAGCGAGCATTGGTCTCCCAGCGGACATTGCATAATTCTGTCCAGCGAGCATTGGTCTCCCAGCGGACATTGCATAATTCTGTCCAGCGAGCATTGGTCTCCCAGCGGACATTGCATAATTCTGTCCAGCGAGCATTGGTCTCCCAGCGGACATTGCATAATTCTGTCCAGCGAGCATTGGTCTCCCAGCGGACATTGCATAATTCTGTCCAGCGAGCATTGGTCTCCCAGCGGACATTGCAAGCATCTATGTTTCCTCTTTTCTGTCCAGCGAGCATTGGTCTCCCAGCGGACATTGCATAATTCTGTCCAGCGAGCATTGGTCTCCCAGCGGACATTGCATAATTCTGTCCAGCGAGCATTGGTCTCCCAGCGGACATTGCATAATTCTGTCCAGCGAGCATTGGTCTCCCAGCGGACATTGCATAATTCTGTCCAGCGAGCATTGGTCTCCCAGCGGACATTGCATAATTCTGTCCAGCGAGCATTGGTCTCCCAGCGGACATTGCAAGCATCTATGTTTCCTCTTTTTCTGTCCAGCGAGCATTGGTCTCCCAGCGGACTTTGCATGCATCTATGTTTTCTCTTTTTCTGTCCAGCGAGCATTGGTCTCCCAGCGGACTTTGCATGCATCTATGTTTTCTCTTTCCCATCCAACAGGTATCGATTTCCCAGCGGACAGCAGGAAATCTCCAGTCCGGGCTTCCAAAAAACGCGCCACTCCACCGTCAGCCGGTAGGGCCCATCAGCCCGACGCTGTGAGCTGCTCCCGTCGGAAGCTACATGGGCCCTCCTGGTTGGGCATTCCCAAATCTTGTCAACCAGTAGGGCCCGTCCGCCCAGCGCAGTGAGCTGCTCCCGCCAGAGGCAACACGGGCCCTCCTGGTCAGGCGGCATAAATCACGCTGTTCATCGGCCGGTAGAGCTCGCCTGTCTGACGCTGTGAGCTGCTCCCGTCGAGAAACGGTGCGAGCCCTCCCAACTGTTGTTCCAAATTACGACTGCTCCCCGTTCGTGAGCCAGCAGGCCCTCCTGGTCAAGCAACCAGGCTTATTCTCAAAACGCCAGCCCGCCAAATTCTCTGCGTTTTGGGGGGTCTTTAGTCTGGCGGCTGTCCTTTGCTCTTTGCTTTTGGGGGAGCACTCTGGGTTCGGGCAAAAATTTCCGAGCTCGGAGCCCTCCCCCTGGACAGCACGCCAAATACGCATAATCTTTACTCTGTTTAATTGATGTAAATGTGAACTCGTGAAATGATGTTTCCTAACAAAGTTCGGGAGGAGCATGTTCAGATAATTAAACACATGTGGAGCACATTCAGGTAATCAAGCCTAATTAGACACGAGTGGAGCACACTCCCAATCAATGAGGTAAGAGGTATATATTCAGCAAACTTAACTCAGTTCTTTGACAGTCTAACAGCATCCCTCCACCACCCCATCTCCTCACTTCTTCTCCTAAATACTCTTACAACAAGGGGGAGCACTCTGGGTTCGGGCAAAAATTTCCGAGCTCGGAGCCCTCCCCCTGGACAGCACGCCAAATACGCATAATCTTTACTCTGTTTAATTGATGTAAATGTGAACTCGTGAAGTGGTGGTCGAGAGTCCTCAGGCGACCGTTATTATATTCGAATGAATACGCTTCCTACATATGATAAACGGATATTTTTCAAATCATCCACCAAATAATCATCTCTCCCTTTACAGTTTAACGAGTTAACAACAATGCCATAAATTATCAAAACACATTAGTAAAACACATTAAATTGTGTTAATGCCTAAATAATAGATTTTAATTAAAAAAAAACGATATAAATATAGTTTAATTTTACAATTCATCTATATAATATTGTCTCAATGTTTTAATATGTTCTATTCAAGTAATGATTAATATAAAAATAAAACTAGCATGAAATAAATGTTAAAGCAGGAATAAGAAAGCTGTAATGTAATCTCTGGTTTAAACTTGCTCTCTCAGTTCTCTCCGCATTGGATTGTGGAAAATAGTGCTCCAGCAAGTGTACATCGAATGTACACTCGAATTCAGAGAGGATTGTGGGTAAAAGTAGTGAATGAATGTAGGGAATGATGTCGTTCACTCAGAATTCGGACACCACTACAAAATGGCCGACACCCGATATAGTGCACTATGTAGTGGATAGGGAGCGATTTCAGACACAGCTTAGGTGTCGGCTATGACCGCCAGGCGAATGAGGATATTCTTCTTGGGGGAGACAGGAGCGAGGAAGACTCGGGTGAGGAAGAGGACATTAATGGAGGTAAATATGGTGCAAAATGTGAGAGCTTGTAGAACACGATGTGAGACCTTGCAGAACAAAACATCTGAACATGTATGATAAAATGATAAAATTATTATTCTTAATGACTCTGTCCTTTTACATTTATGTTTTCCTTAAGTGTCAAGCATGTTTTATATGCAAGTACATTGATTATGAACTCAATAACAATATTGATGAAAAACAAAAATATTCACACTCACGTGATCTGAATTTGAAGTGACAGAGAGAAAAACAAAACAAATGAGAGCTTGTAAAAAAAACTGAACTTGTAAATTTAAATTTGCAATCGTAGAAAATGTTCACACCTGTATTCTGAATGTGAATATTTTTGTTTTATAATAATAATAATAATAAATAATAAAATAAAAAATAACTAAAAGCTTCTCTTCTCATACTATTTGACACCGCTTCTCAATCAGCCACTGGTACGTCATTTCCACCATGTTCAAGAAAGAATAAGAAAGGATTCCAGATTTCCTTATTGAGGTATAAGACACGACCACACTGTCTTAATACGGCCCTGATCATGTCTGAGGTGAAGCTGGTGACCTCCTGTATATCGACCATCTCACTGCACTGACCACAGATGCTCGATTATACTGGACACGGGTGTAAACTCTCGAGAATGAAGTATCTATCGAGTATCTAAAGCGTTGAAGTCAGCTGAATCACTCTCGTTACACTGACTTTTACTCAACTAGTATTCACCTAGCTCGTTGCTCGAAGTTTGAGCGCGCTAATATACTAAATTTTATTTAGTATATTAGTCAATACATCAAAATAAATTTAATTTAATAACTTATAACTTTAATAACTTTAAAACACTATAAAATCATAATTATTTAAAATGTATGTTTAAGTAAAACTTAAGTAGACTCAATTAAAAAGTGATTTTTTTAAAACATGCACTTAAGTGTGTTTAGAAATATTGTGATGAATGTGTACTTTCTTTAAGTAAAACTTAATTAGACATTATTACAAAGTGTATTTTTAAAAAGTACACTTAAGTGTGTTTAGAAATATTGTCATGCAAGTGTACTTACTTTAAGTTAAACTTAATTAGATATTATTACAAAGTGCATTTGTAAAAAGTGCACTTAAAGGGAATACACTTTAATGACAATATTTATTAACTCACTTAAGTACACTTAAGTGGTCTTTAATTTTAATTATATTATATTATCTGCAAGTACACTTATCAAAAAGTATACTTTTATGAGTTTAAGCACACAAAAAGTACGCTTTCAATACAATTAAGCACACATCTTTTTCACAAGGGACTGTACAGTAAGAAAGACATTTCCCTTCCCCGGAAATTAATATTTCTTAGAATTGATAAACTATTAACGCCGAGTCTTCATGACGAACAGGTGGGTTGATTGTAATATTAATTTTACTACATTAAGTTAATTATATTAACTGACCCAAATATTCATAATCATAACCAGTTATTATTGATCATTAATATTCCATAGAGTTAATTTGTTACAGTGAACACGACGGCGGCGCAGAGAAATCACGTGCACAACGCTGACAGTCAACTACACTGGGTAGTGGGAACTGCTACCAGATCATATTGTGAGTAAAACTCTCAGAGTTTCAAGAGCAGATCAATGGAGAAAGACTTTTTGTGTTCACTCTACATCTAACTTTTAACTGGTAGGGACTGTGATGATAACTAATTGCCAGTGTTTTAGCCAGTAATCACTTTCTTTATTATTTTCTTTTCTTTGTTTTCATTTAGTGCTGTGATATTGGGTCTTTGGGTGTAGATTGTGTTTTGTCTGAGCATTTGTGTGCACGAGTGAGTAGATTAGGTTTGCTTTAATGCTTGATTTTTAGACTGGAGATACTGGCAGTTTGTTCTTATCTTTCTCCAGTGAGCTACTGACAAGATCTGTGGAGACCGCTGCTGCTGTGGGGCTAAACCTAGACTGCTGCTTCTGGCCAGACAACCATCATAACCAGACTGCCTAATGGACTGGGCATTTACCAGAATGTTTCCTCTTGTTTACTATTTTTAAGTTTATATCCTTTTATGGTAATAAAAGATGTTGTAATTCGATTCACCCCTTGGGTGTCAGTGGTGTTGATGTCCAGCCCTATCAGTGGAATAAGATTTAATAGATGAATTGGGGTGAAACTGAGTCCTGGGTCTCAGGGATAAATCCAGGTGGCGTAGTCGGCTACTTTTATAGCAACAGTGGTGTTGGCTCTTATATTTTAGCCACTTAAAATAACTTTATTTGTGCCCTCGTCACACCTTTTATGTTAAGAGAATAAGAGAATCCATACAATGCATATAGAGTGAGCAGTGCTGTATAATAAAGTGAGATTGCACTGGGAGCATTATTTAATAGGGGATATCGGTCTATCTAAACATGCTACTCGGGGAGGTATATTATATAATTTGAGAAAATTTTCCCTTGAATTTTCCTCCCCAAAAAAGACAAAAAGTTGTAGCCTATGGTCAATCACATGAAGTTTAAAGGGGACATGGTCATGGTAATCCTGATTCCTGAACAGCAATCCATAAAAAAATGTATGTCACCTATTAAGGGTGTTTTTTTTTCTTCTAATGACAGTTTAAACTGTATATAATGTGTTATAATGTAATTTGAGTTTACTTTCCCTTTAAATTTCTTAAAAGCTACCATATGAACATTTGTTTGGTCAGCCAGGCTCCTGAGCTAGAATAATTAAAAGTTTCAGTTAAGAAGCAAAGGTTTCCTATAATGGGGTTTGCTTCTCAAACTTATTGAAATAAATAAATAAACATAAAAGTTGACTCCTAACTTCTTAACTCTTTCGAGCGGATTCATAGAGACGCATTAATGTGTGGTAGGTAGTAAACTAGTAAATGTATCCATTGCTCAACGAATCAGCTCCTCAGAGAAGTAAAACATTAATAAAATAATTAAAAATTAAAAAATTAAATCGAAATATTAAGTGAAATAGTCTAGAATAGATGGTGAGATACTAATTTTCTTACCGGTATTTTTATATTTCGAAACAAAACAAGATAAGATATCCTTGCTGCATCGTCACGTGCCTATAGAACACCCCGTGACGTCACAGAGCAGAACACACACTCAAAGTGCGAGAGCAGTGAGAGAGTTGACCTAGAGCGATACTAACTACTGACTTTAGATACTTTTAGATACTGATTTTGACTTAGCATTTGCACACAGAGCTAACACGCACATTTAACAGCATCATCACACACATCTGTGTTGTTCATTGAGTGCCGTGAAGTTGAGAGGAGCTCCGGGTGACCAGCTTCCCCTCAGACATTCTCTCTGATTCTGTCAGCATCGCGGAGTTGACAGCTGAGACCATGGAGAACAGCTCAACAGGTTAGATTGAAAATTTATAATTTATACATTTATTAAAAATAAAGTTATTGCCATGTTCAGGGCTTGACATTAACACCCGCCAAATGCAGGCGTATATTTCATCAGTGGCGTGTAACGCACTCCTACTGTAACTGGCCACTTCGGCGGGTTGAATTACATTTTTCAATAGTAGACTTTTAAAAAGGCATCTGAAATAATAAACTTAGTGCAATGTAGTGTTATCAATTTTTCGATACGATACTGTTACTGTTTGGTTATCCACAGCAGGAGGGTCAGGTCTTCAGTTCAGAGGAATGAATTATGAATTATTTATGGAATGTTATTATTTACTATGAGAAAGGAAAAGATAAAGATGTATCAGTATTATTTTAATTTAAAAACATCAAAACTATACTAATAAATAATTAAATAACTAAACTAATATTTTTTTTTGGTGTTTATGATAAATAAGTGACTGCAGTCTAATGTGTCTAGCTTAAAATAGTTTTTATGAAACTTTCTTTTTCTTTACTACATTGCAAAACATAATACCAGACTTTTTCATCCACTTCATATCGGCGAAGCATGCTGTTCCTTGTTATTTAAAGTGAAGAAGTATTTTATGTGACTTATCTTTGTAGTGTTCTTGTAATTTTCAATCTTGCACTGGTCCTTCGTGAGCTCATGGCTTAGGCCAAGTCCAGGAATATGAACTTGCAAAAGTGCAATTTATTTTTTCTTTAATGAATTTATCAGATAAAAGCCACGTTTATGTTCGTTTATGGAATATGTTTGTTTTTCATCTGTAGTCATTTGGTTTTATAATCATTTTTCTTTGTTTTAGGAAACCCTAAAAAACGTAGCAAGGGGAAAGTAGTCCGTGCTTTCTTTCGGGAAATATGGACGACTGTAAAGTCCACTTTCATTCGCGACGACCCGAACAGAGTGGTGTGTCTTAAACCACAGCCAGATCTAGAGGATCCCGAGCTGATGCATGTTTCAAGTCCTGCGAGGAACATGCCAACGCTGGACGCAGATCCTGAGCTGGTGTGTTTGCCAGGCCAGGTGTGTGAAGATCTGGAGTCCCCGTGTGTGTCAGGTTTCTCCAGGATCGAGCAAACGCCGGACACAGATCCTGCCGTTCCTGAGCTGGTGTGTGTGCCAGGCCAGGTGTGTGAAGATCTGGAGTCCCCGTGTGTGTCAGGTTTCTCCAGGATCGAGCAAACGCTGAACACAGATCCTGCCGTTCCTGAGCTGGTGTGTTTGCCAGGCCAGGTGTGTGAAGATCTGGAGTCCCCGTGTGTGTCAGGTTTCTCCAGGATCGAGCAAACGCTGAACACAGATCCTGCTGTTCCTGAGCTGGTGTGTTTGCCAGGCCAGGTGTGTGAAGATCTGGAGTCCCCGTGTGTGTCAGGTTTCTCCAGGATCGAGCAAACGCTGAACACAGATCCTGCCGTTCCTGAGCTGGTGTGTTTGCCAGGCCAGGTGTGTGAAGATCTGGAGTCCCCGTGTGTGTCAGGTTTCTCCAGGATCGAGCAAACGCTGAACACAGATCCTGCCGTTCCTGAGCTGGTGTGTTTGCCAGGCCAGGTGTGTGAAGATCTGGAGTCCCCGTGTGTGTCAGGTTTCTCCAGGATCGAGCAAACGCCGGACACAGATCCTGGTGATTCTGAGCTGCCGCCTGCTTCATATCCCTCCAGTTTTGATCTGGATGACAGTGAGTCATTATTACTTTGTTCATGTTATTTCTGCCTTCTGTTATTTTCTCTGATCGATTCTTTTTATTATTACTTTCAGTTATAATTCTGATTTGACATCGCTTGAGTTAAAAATCTGTAAATGATGTTTGTTGTAGTATTTTCATCTTTAATTGCATTGATTAGTACTTGCAGCTCTAATCATCATTCTCAGAGATGTTTATATGTTACCAATTTTGGTAACACTTTACAATAAGGTTCATTAGTTTACATTAGTTAACTACCTTAGTTAACATGAACTAAGAATGAACAATACTTCTACAGCATTTATTAATCTTTGTTTTTACTAATACATTATTAAAATCAAAGGTTGTATTTGTAAAACATTAGTTAATGCACTGTGAACTAACATGAACAAACAATGAACAGCTGGATTTTTATTAACTAACATTAACAAAGATTAATAAATACAGTAACAAATGTATTGCTCATTGTTAATGTAATGTTTCCTAATGAACCTTATTGTAAAGTGTTACCATAATTTTCTATGAATTTTTCTTCATTTTAGAAAAATCTAAGAAAGGAAGGAAGAGGAGAGCAGTCTGTGCCTTCTTCCGGAGATTAGGCACGGCTGCAAAGCATCTCTTCCTCTGCCACGACCCGGACAGTGTCCAGCATCTTACGCCACAGTCGGATCTGGCCAACTCCGAGCTGATGCTTTTCCAGGTTTCATCCGAGATCAAGTCTGTGCCTGAGCCGGAGTCAGTGCCGGAGCCGGAGCCGGAGTCGGGTCAGGTCTGTGAGGATCTCCCGTCGTCAATGCAAGTGGAGCCAGACGATCCAGAGGCGTTGCCTGACGGACTGCAATACGGTGAGGCATTATTATCTTTGCTTCTTGATATTTCTGCCCTGTTGTTTCCTACTTATAATTATTTAGGCTATAATTCTGATACTCTGACATCACATAAAGAAACTTATTGTAGCTGATTTGCTACATATATCCGAAATCAAAAGATAGAAGTATTTTAAGATTCTTCAAATGAATCTTATTTGAGTTAATATCAGACAATCAAAGGAAACTGCCTCACATATGTCTATGTTCTTTGTCCTGTGTGTTTTTCAGGAACTAGGATGTCTGTTTTTTTTCTAGTGGGAGAAATTATAGGATCAGGAAGTTTTGCCCAGGTGTATGAAGGAACCCACATATTTTGTGAGAGAATCAAGGTAGAGCACTCTTATTGAATTCAACCAATGTTTTGCTCCTGATGTAGAGATGTGTGTCGTCTTTCTTAATTTAAAAACGAACAGATTGTAACTTGTGCAGATCAGGCACTTTAATATGCTTGAAATAACTAACAGTTTGTTTTGCCATTCACAGGTTGCCATCAAGCATATACGCAAGGGTGGACAGGACCGTTATCTTGACACTGTAAGTTGACTAACCTAAATGAGATTTGGTTAAGTGATGAGTATTGTCAATTCCTGTTGCTAAAATGAAGCAGTAAGTCAAGAAGATGTAAATGTAAATACAATTACATAAAAATACGAGTTGAGTTTTGCTACTGTGACATTCTCTACTGTGTTTGTTTATTTGCGTGTATCCTGACATTGTTAAGCTCTTTGGTCAACTGTGGGTGTTTTTAAATGTGCTATACAAATAAACTTGATCTTGAACAATCTTCAAAAAAAATTCAAGGCCAACTAACTGTTTGTTTTTTTCTCTAGCCCGATCACTCCAAACCTGTGCTTGCAGAAGTGGCACTGATGCTGCGTTTGGGACAAGCTCCCTCATGCCCCAACATCATCGAATTACACCACTGGATTGAGGACGAGAGCAGCTTCAATCTCATTATGGAGAAACCTGATCCATGCCAGAACTTGCGGCATTACATCATTTATTCAGACGACATTAACGAAGCAAAAGCACGCTGGATGATACGTCAGTTAGTCCAAGCTGTAAAACACTGTGTTGACCGTGGAGTTTTCCATGGTGATATCCACTCGGGGAACATCCTGGTGGTGGCCGACGAGAGTCTGAAGCTCAAATTGATTGACTTCGGACATGGTCGTCTAATTAGTAGTGAGGGCTTTAACAGCAGTGAATATCAAGGTGTGTTAGCAGTTTGTGTTAGCATAGCAGAGTTTGGGAATTGGAAATAGTACATTGATCACTGTATTATTGACACTAAAAAAGTCTCTCTTTTAGGAGCAGACCTGTACACCCCACCTGAGGTCTTGAGGGACACCGTGTTCTACGCCGAGCCAGCATACGTCTGGGCTGTAGGTGTTGTGCTGTTTGAGATCCTGCACAGACATCTGCCCTTTAAAACCTTGAACGGCATACTGCGTGACTATCTTGACACGAGTCTGACCTTATCCTCAGGTAAACACAACAGACACCTCTGCACAATCTCACACAGACAGCAACATAGGGTCGGCCCAGATCCGGCCCACATCTGGACCGTGTGATCCATGTGTACCAGATCTGGGCCGACACTAATGCTGTCTCAATTCGCCTACTTATACTACGCACTAAAAGTATGTACTCTTTTGGTGAAGAAAAAGTAGATACTTTTGAGTGTGTAGCAGAAGAGTAGACAAGCTTTGGGATACTATCACGGCATACAATCACATCTTTAACGGTTGCTCTCTGTCTAAGCAAACTGGCCTGGCAATCATCTTGTCAAAGATAAAATCCTCCACATTTCATTTCCTACCGTATCGGAGAGAAATTAAAAAAGTTAATGGCCAAACGGATCTTTATAAAAGTCCACATTGTTATTACAGATGGAATATAATACGGATAACAGTAAATAAATACTTTCCTATCAGGTTAAACTTTGATTAGTCACTTAAACCTTTATCTAAACGTTGAAGTTCTGATTTTTTTTAACACTTTTTAATCGTGTTTACTAGATTATTATTTGATTCAGGATATTTACATAATCAAATAATGACATTTTATATGGCAAAATATGGAAATATTTTACATTATTTCACGTATTTCAACATTAGTGATCCTCTAAGACTAACCCGCGCCCTCTCTGAAAACTTCACAGCATGCCGAGACCTGATTTTCTGGTGTTTGGTGCGTGATCCAGCTGAGCGACTGACGCTAGAGCAGCTGGAGAAGCACAGCTGGTTTGATAAGTAGAACCAGATCCCGTGCATCAGTCAGACGAGAAGAGGTAGTGTAACACAGAGAAGTAGGAAACTACATTTGCAGTGCAAAGCAGTTATTTTTCAATTCTGTATTGTGTAGTATGACCAGGATGTAGATGATGTACAAAAAAACAGAGGACAGCTCTATCAAAAGAAAAAACGACAGGACTGAAGTGAATGAAAAATGACAAGCGTTTACATGCACATCAAGGCTAGATTATAGTAATGCTCTACTGGGTGGTTGCCCTGCATGCTTAATAAACAAACTACAGCTAGTTTAATAAGCAGCAGCTCGAGTTCTTACCAGAACCAGGAAGTATGACCATATTAGCCCGGTTCTGTCTACACAGCATTGGCTGCCTATTAAACATCGTATACATTTTTAAACATTGCTGATTACTTACAAAGCACTAAATGGTTTAGCTCCCCAGTACTTGAGCGAGCTCTTAACCAGTGTTGTGCTAGTTACTAAGAAATAGTAACTAGTTACAGTTACTAGTTACTTCATTCAAAAAGTAACTCAATTACTTTGTTGATTACTTACACCAAAAAGTAATGCATTACTGTTAAAAGTAACTTTTTAGTTACTTTAAAGAAAAAAATTATATAATGTTCCCATTAATGCCCTTTTATGCGTTACGATCTATACAAACACAAAACTGACTTAAACAGAAAGTAATTTTTAAACACTTTTATTTAAGTCAGACCAGCACAAACTGAATATATCACAAGGATTTCTGAGGTGACTCGCTATGCTGACTCGCGATCTTCGCAGTAGATGAAGAACCGGGTTTGGCCGGGTACTCGGTACCACCGGTACTTGGTACCGTGACGTTTAAAAAAATGTAGTACCGACTTGGTACCGAAGTACCGAATATTTTGACAACACTAGTGTGGGCCTTATGTAAAATACGGGACAAATCGCGTCCTTCATTGATTTGATACGGACGCATCATTTTACTTGTAAATACGAGACAATTCCGTATTTTAACGGAATGGCAACCCTTCCACCAATCCTACAATGCGTCGCTGCTGTAAACAGGTTAGGCTGTAGGCTACACTTCAGCCAAAATGAATTAATTAAAAAAAGTAACGGACAACGCACCATATGGTAACGGTAACGGAGTTAATTTATTTAAAAAGTAATGCATTACAGTACGAGTTACTGTCAAAAGTTATAATTCAATGTTAGGCTGCATAGTTTAGATCAGCCGAAACCGGGAACACGTCCCGTAAATCCAATGTACTTGGTACATCATAAGAAGGATGGCGTCTACGCTAATATTAGTCTCTCTGTTTATCCCGAGGTTTACCGCAGTCCGCCGGATCCAGGCTGTATCCAGATCTGATGAAGGATCAGCAGCTGGTCACGACGACAACGCAGTCCTGAAGTGTCACCTAGTCTCTCCTCTATGGTGGACCTGCGCCTGAACCCATCCCAACGCATCCTGAAGTGCCAGCCTCATCAGCCCTGTGAAGGCCTCATCGACACGACAGCCATCGGCACTGATCCTCAACAACTCGTCTCCATACCGGCGTGATTACTTCGACTTCCAACCAGTCGAAGTAATCGTTGGACGTTGATGCAATTTTCTTCTAGAAGCAAACTTTGTTGTATTATTTTCATGTTATCACTGTGAAGCTGCTTTGATACAATCTGTATTGTAAAAAGCGCTATATAAATAAAGGTGACTTGACTTGACTTAAGCTATCAAAGTTGAATGCACTGTTCAAGAAATGTGTCCATGAAACAGAAGGAAATCTCCTCTTACAAATCTGGTTTCTTAAAAAGACAGGTTGTGATGTTGAGGATTTGTCTAACTATAGGCCTATTGCCCATCTACCTTTTCTGGCTAAGGTCCTGGAACGAGTTGTAGTGGGCCAGCTACAGCAATACCTGTCCAAAACAATCTCCTAGAACCATTTCAGTCTGGATTTAGATCAGGTCAAAGTACTGAGACTGCTCTTGTCCGGGTTACAAATGATCTTCTCATCTCTGCTGCTATGGGTGCCTGTAGTATTTTAGTCTTGTTAGACATCACTGCTGCTTTTGACACAATATCTCATGCTGTCCTTCTTGACAGATTGTCTGAACGGCTAGGAATCTATGATACTGCGTTTGAATCCTTTACATCCTATCTCACTAATCGATTCCAGTTTGTGTCTTTGGGGAAAAACAAATCTATTAGGGGTGGCACGGTACATGAAAAAACATCCGAACCGTTTGGTCCGCTTGTCTCGGTTCGGAGCATGTGTGTGTGTCTCATGGTTTGACGCATGCGCAATGTAGCCTCGTGCCCGTATGTGACCTCAGACGTGTGTTTCCTTTTCGCGCGAAATAAGACGTGTGTGGACATACATATGAGGCTTGTTCGAGTTGAATCGGCGCTGCACAGAGCGATCGGCGAATGACATCAAAGTACCGCGAGCGCGACGGCTCCGTATGCTTTTCAATCACTCTCGCGGTTCTTTGATGTCATAAACCGATCGCTCTGTGCAGCGCCGGTGTTCTGTCGATCTGTCCTACCTTGTCAGTTTTCCTACCGTAGCGCAAAATTATAGCCATATCTATCGGTTCATCCTACCACATCGTAAAATCCTACTGCGCGTTTCTGCTTCGCGTCTGTGACTACATAAAATGTCACAGGGTGGGTGATTTTACAGTGCAAAGTAACGTTACCTCATCAGATTGTCCTATGAAATAAACGGGTAGGATGATTTTACGGTGCAAAATACCTCATCAGATTGTCCAACCAGTATGAAATAAATGGGTAGGATGATTTTACAGTGCAAATACCTCATCAGATTGTCCTACCAGTATGAAATAAACGGGTAGGATGATTTTACGGTGCAAAATACCTCATCAGATTGTCCTACCAGTATGAAATAAATGGGTAGGATGATTTTACAGTGCAAATACCTCATCAGATTGTCCTAGAAAAATAAACAGATAGGATGATTTGACAGTCTAAGTTTTTAATCCGTATAGTCCCTGGACAGATGTTACAAATTTACTCTAAACCAGATGATAATGTAAATTGAAATAAGATTAGTTATTGAGATAATTTATAATCAAGCAGATCAATTTTGAACGGAGATTATTAATCAAATTCATTTCAAAATTCAAAATCATGCAACAGAGAGGCACAATACAAAACAAGTAAAACAATAAGTTCTTAATATAAATATGAACTAAGACCACACTGTGCTGCAGACTGTTATCAATGCAAATGATAAAGGTACATACACTCAAACTATACTACACACTTTTTTGCACATAAACACATTTAGGCTACTGAAGTTACAACATTTAAAATGTGCCCATCTATTGCAGCTCTCTCACACTGTACCTGAAAATAAAAGAGATGAATATATATGTAAATTAGTACATTTAAAACAATATAGAATCTGAAAACATGAAAAGAAAAATTACCTTTTCATTTAAATAACAAAATTCTACAAAAAAACATGGCACATAAAGTTAAACTAGCTTTTTGGGTGTGTGTATTATAAGTTGTATACCATTTCAATCATGCTTTCGTTGGGGTCGTCTTCCAGCATGCTGCAAAGCACACAGTACTCCTCTGCATTACCTATACATTTGTTAACATTAAAAAAAAGATAAATATGAATTCATTGGACAATCATAGTGTACTAAATGTCAACATAAACACCATGAAAAAAAAATTCTCAGACCTGTTCCGAAATTACATTAAATCAAATCATTCTTGCATTACTTTTTGCATCCTTCAAGTTATTTTCTATATAATTTTCTTCTCTATCCCCTCTGTATATTTGGATATTCTTACTTGATTAAATACATTTTTCAGAGTGAAGATAGCATCTACAGAGGTGTACTACATGACACACTGTACATTACAATACATACATTACTACGGTATTACAGAATTAAAACAGCACTCATCTCGACATCCAAGAAGTGTGCAGGCTACTTTCATGCGTGCTGAGCTGACCGCTTCAGGCGTAGTCTGAACATTGCTGATCGTTCCTGTCAGCAGGTATTGTTCAGCAATCTGAAACATTAATTGACAGATGACTTAATTAAATTCATTATAACATATCCAGACCTGAAGCCACTCTTGAAAATATATGAACACATGCATTCAATACTCCACAACTGCTGGAATCCATCTGCAGGTCGTGCTTCAGGGTCCGTAATTGCCACTGGGCTGTTTGCTCATCACACCTCAGTTAAAAAAAATTCCTAGATGTCGTCGAGACATTTGTACTGTTTAGAATCGAATAGCATAAAAAAAAAAATAGATGAAACAGTTCTAACAAGGTTA